AGTTGATTGGATTTAAGTCATAGCTATTGCCTCCCTGACTTCAAATCATAGTTAACTTATTTGACGAAAAGAGTAACGTTAACAATGTAAATCAGCTTGGTTTTCAGATGTTCTTCTACCAGATGTTGAGGTACCTATATTGAATGTATCTCCGTCTATTTTTGATATGTTTGAAGATTTTTGAGATGTTCTCCTTGAAGTTCCTTTTAAATTATTTTTAAAGTTAGTTCCTAATTTTATTGATATCTTGAATTCCTAATAATCAAATTCTAAATAACTATTTCAAGCATTTTTTTAAGTCTGCAAATGATGTTTCTAAAGATTTCTAAGCAAGTGGTTAATATCTAATTGATTGTATAATTAATTCAAAGTACTTTTCTAATGCTTTTGAGTTTTCTTCTAATGTGAGTGCTTTTTTAAAAGCTCTAATAGTTATATTATTAAACTGTTCTCCTTTTATTGCATAAACTATCCAGAAATACCAAAAGTTCTTAAATGCTTCTGAAGGTTGTTCTGTTATCAGATAACACTCAGTACAAGATGGATCTGGATTACTTATTATCTCTTGTTTATTTTCCTATAAGTGTGCTGTAGTATGTTTAATAATCCTTTGATTATATTTCTTTTTACTTATTATTAATTATTTTATTATTTACGTATTTAAGTATTTTCTCAATAGTTAGTGTTAATTTATGAAATCTGATAAAATCCTTAATATTATCAATTTCCTTTTGAATACGCTAAATTATCACAAAGGATACTGGTTTATCTTCACTAATGCTTTCAAGCAAATTCTTCAAAGTTCTCAATTGTAATTCCAATTGCAATAACTGAGATGTGTATAAAGGTTTAAGATAAACTTTAACGTTAGACATCAATTAATTCTAATTTACAATTTCTTAATTTCTCTTAATTCCAATTTTATAATCCATCCAACCTGTACCAAATTTGTTATACGAGTTGATTGTAAAGTCTACTGACTAAAAAATAGACTTCAACGTATATAGCAACATTTTAGGTAGCTGAAGGATAACAATTTATGGTAACAATTCTAAAGTCTTATTAGCGTCAATAGAATTATCAATATAAATTACTACAATCAATGTATATGTCTATATAGGAGAGCTTGAATGATGGATTAGATTTTATGTTACGAGTTTAACTAATTAAAGTTAAAAGGTAAAAGGTTAGTTTATTAATTAGAAAAATTGGAATCAATACCATTCAATAATTTAAATAAGCTCTTATTCACGAACTTACAAAATTAAAAAACAAACAATAAACTAACTATATCAAAACTGTATTAGAAAAACTATCTAATAATTATTCTCAAGATTATCTAGCTTGATTTTTATTAACTGAGTAATTATCTGACTTGTAATTCACTCAAGATTAATTTTCTAACTTATAATTGACTTAAACTGAATTACTTATAACTGATTAACTAACTGGGAATTAACTGATTTATAAAAATACATGAAATTCTTATTCTATTTATACAAAACTTTGAATCTAATTTTATTATTAAATTAAGATAAGGTATAACTTAATAAACTACAGAAACCTTATAAACATTGTTAACTTAATTAACAAATTTAACTAAGTAAACTATATTAACTATGTAAACATATTTAATTTCGTTAACAGCGTTACCATCAGTTTCATTATTATGGTAGTTTTTATCATTTTATCATTTTCATTATTTTTGTAACTTCAGCCGATTGATCGCTAATTCGCATTAAGGAATTACAGCTCTATTTAGCAATGATTTATATAATTATACTTAACAATCATTTCAAAATATCTTACTAAATATTGGTCTAATCAGATTGAGCTTATATTTGTTAGAAAGCTCTCATCAAGATGATTCTAATTATACTAATTCTGTTTAATTCTAATCCATTTTGATCTGATCTGATTGTCAAAAAATCCAATAGCTAATAAAAATCATTTGAAGATCAGATCAAATAAACAGATCAACAGATCAAAAAATTTGATGTTTGAATGTTCTGAAAAAAAAAACGCGTTTATGTTCTTTTAAAAAAAAAATAGTTTCACAAAATTTAAAAAATATAGAATCAAAATGTGATCTAAAAACTAAACTGCGGTTGAAACCTGTTCCTATATTCTAAAACTAATTACATTGGAAACTTCAAATATATTTCCTTTTGAATCTAAAGAAGTAATTGATCTAAAGGTTTATACTTATATATTTTTTCTAATGTTAATTATTCAATTTAATTATTAACATATTTATATTAAATAGTTAGATACAAATATTATAACTATACAAGTAGAATCACAAAAATTTGAAGATTTTTCTTTAGTAAGTTTTTCTAAAATATTTGTCTAGAATTTTGTTATATATATATACAATATTTATTTAATTTCTTTTCTTACATATTTAACTATCAGTTAAAACTAATAAACGTAAAAAAAAGGTTTCTAAAAATGAAATAAATCCAAGTAAAGATAATACTAAATGGACAGATATAGAAATTAAAAATTTACTTGAATTTTAGGTGAAAATTTAAAAGATTGAAAATGCAGAAAAACAAAAGTTTATTAAAAGATAGTAAATGTAAATATATTACCAGGTAGATTTTATGAGCAAATTAGAAATAAAGTAGAAAAATTACACGAAATGTATCTGCAAAAAAAAAAGCCAATCCTACTGGTGAAGGAAATGTCAATTGGGTTTGGTTTTCACAAATGAAGGAAATTTTATTATAAAGTAAAACTGTTAATCCAAATTATATTACAAATTCTTTAACTATAGATTTTATTTCTGATAATGAAAATTTAATTAATAAAGAAAATGATAGAATTGTTGAAACAAGAAGAAAAAAAACAAAGTAAATGGAATTGGAGGTTTATCTGAAGTAATTACTGTAATGAGTAAGTCAAGGGATAGGTTTTATAAAAAAAAATTAGATTTAGAGGAACGCGAAATTCAAAAAAAAGTTTGAATTAGAAGAAAAATAATTAATTCAACAATATGAATTAGAAAAAGACAAAGTTAGAAATAGAAAAGTTACATGCTGAAAATGAAAAAGTTAAATTAGAATTAGAAATGTTAAAATTTCAAAGAATAAACGAATAAATAAATAAAATAAAAGCATTTTTTGGGATATAATTTTTAATAATATTTTATCTAAATATTAATGTGTGATTATAAAAATTTCCATAATCTGGTTTTGAAGTGTCAGTTTTGTACGTTTGTACAATCTGTTATAATCTTTTAGAATAAAGTGATGATTTATTTTTTTATCGTTAAATTCGTATCAAATGATCTGTTATTATTTTCAAACTAAAAGATAATTTATTTATCATTTGATTAGTATTGAACAATTTATCATCATCTTTCAGACTGAAAGATAATTTTTTTATCATTCAATTAGTATTAAACGATTCGTCATTATCTTTCAGACCAAAAGATGATTTTTTATCATTTGATTAGTATCAAATGATTTGTCATCATCTTTCAGAACTAAAAGATGATTTATTTATTTATCGTTTGATTCATATCGAATGATTTGTCATTATCTTTCATAATTGAAAGATGATTTTTACTATATAGCACTGACATTAGTACCCCCTTTGTAAAATATCCCCCTTGAATAATAACAGATACTATTCAATCACTAAAAATAAAATTTTGATTAATACCAGGATATTAATAAATTAACCAATTAAATTGATAAATATGTCGATCAAATTTACCACAATGATGCTGATCAAATTTATTATAACGATATCAATCAATTTGATCGATTATAATATATTAAACATAAAAATCAAAATTTATTATTATATTTTATACTTTATCAATATTAAATATTATTATTTATTAAGTATACATGATTATTATTTAAATCTATTCATTATTATAATTTCCTTTCTCATAATGATTATCATTAATATCATTACTTCTATCATTTTCATTAATATCATCTAAAATTTCTACTTCATCATTTGATTTTATTTATTCAAGATGTTCATAATTAAAAATTCAATTGTCTTCTATTCCATCACGTTTGTTAGAAATATCACAGTATTTAAAAAATCTTTGGATTAAACTAATATCAACTGCGTTACATGATCTATTAATCCAATCTACAACAGTTTCATAAGATGATCTTTTGATTCTACCAGCAGGGGTTAATTCTTTTAAAGATTCAGATATCCATTCATTATATTTATTTCTCATCTATAAGAAATAAATTTATAAATTAAATATAAAAATAAAATAAATAAAATAAAAATAAAATATTTAATAAAATTAATAAATCTTACCTTTGATTTAAATGATTTATTGATTGAAACATCTAAAGGTTGTAATTGAGATGTTAATCCTCCAGGAATAACAGCAATATTAGTATTTTTTTCTCCAAAACGTCTTTTAATAGAATTAATAATATATGCTGAAAATGAATCTAAAACTAATAATAATTGTAGATTAGAAAGTCTTTCAGCATGTTTAATCTAAACATTTTTAATCCAATATAACATTTCATTTTCATTCATCTATTCAGTTAGATTAGTATAAACAATAATTTCTTGTGAAAAATTTCCTTTTGGAATTTTTTTAAGTTTAAAAATTACAAGAGGAGGAAGTTTAGTTCCATCTATCATACAAGTTAAAACTACTATAAAATTAGTTTTTTCATGATCTGTTATATGAATACTAATAGTTTTTACTCCCATTTTATCAATAATAGTATTATTTGGTAAATCAAATGTCAATGGAGTTTTATCTATATTACCAATAAATACTAAGGGATAATTATGTTGTATTGGTCTATATATAACAAATGCTAAAAATTTTTGTTGTTTTTCATATAAATTATTTGGTAAATGCTGAGCGATGGTAGTATAACAATGATTACTTAAGTTATTACAGCTCATTAAACTATCCAACTATTTATTACTAAAAGCAAAAGATTGTACATTAGGACAGGATGCTTGTCATTGTAGTTGTTATGCTAAAGTTTTTGCTTTTTTTGAATCATATTTCAAGAAACTGCTTGTTGGTTACTTCTTCTTTCCTTTATCCACTTAACTAAAGCTACCTCTAAAGCTGAATATTTTAGAGGTTTACCTTTATTTAAACGTTCTAAACTAGGTTGTGCTTTTATAAATTGTTTTTTTTTAGATACCCAGTCACAAATTTGTTTGGTTTCAATATTAAATTTAGCTGTTGTTCCATTTTTACTATGTCCCTTTTCATGATATTTAATAACAGCAAGTTTTTCTCTTACATTTCATACTCTTCGTACTTTTTCTGATATTCTTGCACAATTGGTATTTTTATTTGCGTACAGACCCATATTATTTATGACAAAGTTGTAAAGAAATGGCAAATTTATGTTATGATTATAAGGACAAAAAAAAACTAAAAAAAAGGTTTAAAGTCAAAAAAAAAGACCAAAATTAAAATAAATAAAATTTTGATTGCATTATCTGCAAAATTCGTATCATTCATATCATATAACATATTATAGCTTTATTTTAAAGGAATGTTAAAAATTTAAAAATTTGAAAGTAAAAAAAGATGATCAATGATTATGATTAATATCCCCCTTTTATTGTATTCCCATTGTGTAATATCCCTCTTATGTAATACCTTTCTCTGAATGTAGTACCCCTAGGTATTATTCAAAATTAAGCTTAGATTTGCTTAAATAATACTTAGTACTAATGTTAGTGTTATACAGTATATTTGTTCGATTAGTATTGAATGATCTGTCATCATCTTTTGAAACTGAAAGATAATTTATTTATTTATCATTTGATTCGTATTGAATAATACATTATTATTTTTCAGACTGAAAGATATTGTTCGATTAGTATTGAATAATTTATCATCATCTTT